CTTCCAACTCATCCAAAGCTCGCTTCCCCTCTCGTCGCTCATCTGCAGAAACTAACGTTCTAATTCCAAGCTTATTGGGCTAGAATCACTATGCTTTTATGCACGAGATTTATCTCATTTGGTAGATGAGTCACTCGCCTTGCTTCCATCCCATTTATCTTTGTACATCCGAGCTGGTGGAAGAAATTGTCTAGTGAGTATACGCTGATGAGCTACTAGTAGTATAACGGTTACTAGTACTCCAGCGCAACAGAGCAGGATCTCAGCTAAGACGTATTTTGCTGAAAGACTCATTTGTTTATTCATTCATTCATTCAGCTACTCAAAAAGCGCAAAACTTACCAAGTTGAGGCAATGTAGAAGATTTGGGCATGTCATCACCAATAATATTGAGTATAACAGCCAAGGAAAGGAGGGTGGTTAACCCTAACGTTGTCTGGAATTGACCTAACCCTAGATCTTAAGTTAGGAAACAAAACTTTGAACTGACCCTCTCGCATCGATCCCCAGCATTATTGAAAGGTGTGAACAAACCGATCAAACACAATGCTGCAGTGATAAACGTAGGTAAAAATAGTACGTACACATAATAAGTTGAATGGCGCTTCATTTCTATGGAGTAATGCAGTTCCTGGAATAAATGAGAACATAAATAGCCGAGTAAAGGTCTATATGATTTCCTACCTGGAATTTTTTGTTACTTTGATCAGTAGAGACAACAGATTTCACAGTGATAGATGTTATTTCCCATTCACTGTTCCCTTGATACTGCAAGTAAATCAGTTATTAAAATACGTCCTTTTGAAATATTTGAATTCCTAGATTTGTTTTATTTGAAATTTTTTAAAAAATGAACTGTTCACAATTCAGCCTTGAGTAAGTCGTAATCAGCATCAATGACCTTAATGACTCTCTTCTATTTGAAAAGCATGAATTATACTTCTGAACATAATATGCGATCGCTGATCTCTTGTCACAGCTTTTTTAGCTATTTTCCTATA